AGCAAAGAAGATTTGAGTAAATTCTTACCTCTTGGGGGGGAGGTTGTTGATTGGAAACAGCAATATCACTTGCAAAGATATCAGAGGGATCAAAAGACATATTCTCATCATCAGCATCAAAGAAATTGAGGTACTCTTCCAGCATGTCAAAACCTGAGGAATCTCCGCCAGTCTCTGGCTCCACGGGATTTGAAAGATCATTAGCTTCCAGGAAAAGTCCTTCACTCTGTGGAAGATTATTGAGAGCATCCAAGTATGATTCATCAAACAAATAATTCACATCAACAGCATTCACATTATTCATTGGCTCTGCATTGTATTCATTTTTGACTGCATCCGTCTCATATTGCCCAGGTAAGTCCAAGTTTTCTTCAGCTGGCAGAGATGGACCATGTCGATTTTCAGCCCCTCTTAACATGGGCTTTAGATCATCTTCACTGAAGTTTCTGGGCTGCTCCACATAGTTGCTTGCTTCCCCATAGTAGAAGTTTTGTGGAAGGGCAGTATTTTCAGATGCAATTCCAGTGTCGAAATTCTGGCCAAAAAAAGAAAAAGAATAGTGAAAAATTTAATTGGTGGTGAGGCCTTTAATCATGAAATGCAAACATGATGGATTAATGGATGAAAGCTGGGCAAAGGAGCATGGATCACAAGTAATGTTGAAGAAACAGACAATGCTTGAAAACACACCCACAACAGATTTATAGATCTTCACTATGGATAAAACACATGACTAACACAGCATATACTCTAAATAAGACAAATCAACAAGTTGGAGGACAGATATGTTCAATCTTTTTTACCATAAACCAGTAATAGAAAAAGTGAGCAAACAAGGACAACTTAGTGATCCAAATTAACAGCCAGGTACTGAAATTCTAAATAGAAAGTGAGTCCATTTGGGGGAATATGGCAATACATCTAAGAACAAGCAGTCCCCGACGAATATATGACAAGCCTAGGTGCAATAACCAAGATTGCCAAGCACAGAAGTCAAGGAATAAAAAAATGCTACATAAAATGACATAGCTTAGCGATCCAAAATACAGCTAAAGCATGGTATCTCTTATTAGGAAGCTAGCCCTTCAGAGGAATAACGTGAGAAGTCTGATGACATATTGACCCCAGAGAGCATGTTACAGAGACTAGGTGCATTAGTTTGCAACTGCAATCAATACATAGTTGATCAAAAGGGGAAAAAGAACACAAGAACTGGAAAGTAGATCCTTTTTTCTCAGGAGATTGGAGAGAACTGCAAGCCTCAACAAAAACACCTTGAAAATTATCAGATGGAAAAAATGGCTTCAAGCTGTTGTGGTCATGTAAAAGTGGCAATCCTTTTATACAAAAAAGTTACACAGACTTAAGCAAAGTGAGAAAAAAAAAAAAACCTATCATTAGAAAATAGGACTGCGGAAACAAGTTAAAAGTTTTAATATTGTCTCATCAAGGACAGAATTGACATATACACATGTGAGATCAAGCACTTCTAGATTAAGAACTTGTATCCAGATTTCTTATTACCCTGACAAAATATGCATTCTATGATTTTGAAGTTTTAACATGTATTATTTGGAGTTTAAAATGATGACAACTTTGCATATACAATGTACAGAATAAGCAACATTTGGTACTACCACTTATACAAGCAACCAAATAGCATTCCATGCTTATGAAATCCCTGCAAATACAAAGATTCGATACTACCACCTAAACAGGCAACTACATAGCATTCCATGCTTATGAACTCCCCACAAATACTTTTGTCAACTTCTTTGCATGTAAATGTTTTCATCCACACCTCAAATTCATAGAGTAGGTCTAATAGAATTTCTTAAATTTATGCATTTCTATACTGAGATCCATTTAATTTCCAACCAACCAAACAATTCAAAATAATTTACCACAAGTAACTGTACGAGTACAAACCTGGCCAAGCTCATTCATTTCCAGGTATGCATCATCACCAACTGGTGCTTCTTCAGTCAACACCATCTCTTCACTTGGCAACAGAGGCACTTCATCATCCTCCCATTCCTCCTCAATAAACGGTGCCCCATACTGCTCCCCATTCTTTGGTCCTGTCCCGCTCTTTTGGAAAATCCTGCAAAGCACAAAAGCATCCTTCCCCACCAAAAAACACAAGACAATCAACACAAAAAATCCCAACAAATTTACAATAAAAATAAAAGCTTAGACATCTTTTCTAAGATATCAATCTCACTTGAGTAATTCCTGCTTTCTCCAGCTCCTCATCAACAAGGCGGTACTCATGCATTACCCAATTAGAGCGCTGACCACGTGGAGCTCGACCCTGATGGTACACAAGGGTCTTCTTCATCCCCACAACTTGTGAGTTCTGTCGAACAGGCCGATCTTTCCCAGTCGTCTTCCAGTAACCTTTCTCAGTAGCACGATTAGTCTTAGACCCATTTCCATACTTCTTATCCAACATACTAAAGAAATACCATTCTAAATCCCTGCTCTTCAACTTCGACTTATCTACAAAATCCACAAACCGAATCCCCACATCAATAATAATCATTGATTAATAAGCCATCATTGCAAGACTAAATTATAATCACCAAACTTGAAACTCTTAACTTAATTAAATCACTTTACCATCCATAAACCCCAGTCAAGACAAGCTAATAAAGCCAGTTACTTGCCTATCAATAATTATAAGAACCCAAGTCAAATTTTAATTCAAAATCAAACCTAATCAAGCTAAATCACTAGCTAATCTACGATTAAACAAAAGAAAGGCATCAACTGCTTCACAATTACGAAAAAATCAAAGAATTCACGTAATTATGGAAAGAGCTAGACACGTGGATCTAAAGAAAGAAAGTTGTAAAAAGTTGCGACCTGGAAGATCCCACGGCTCAGATTTATAAATATCGGTGACGGAGATGGCGTCGAAGCGGAACGGTTTGTTAGTGACCTTCCGTTTAAGGTAGTACCGGACAAGTTCCTCATCGGTCGGGTGGAATCGGAACCCCGGAGCGAGTGAAGTTGCCGAGTCACTACGGCCCATCAAAATCAAAACGAGAGTTCGTTTTAGGGTTAAAAGAAAAGACTACGTAGTTTTCGGAAGAGAATATTGAAGAAAAAATCGAAATTCTTGGGGTTAGGGTTTATATGCTTCAATCGGAATCTGAAAGTCGACACGAGACAGACGAAGGAGAAGCCATCATTTTGGCGTCAAAAAGTGAGAGTCTTTCTTTTCTTTCATTTTCTTTTTAATCACAAACAAGGAGTTGATTTTTTCGAGGAAAATTCGGAGAGGGAAAAGCTCAAGCGACAAGGAGAGGCATGTGAAGTATCGCTTGATGGCAATGTGGCGGTTTTTGACGGGCTAGTTTGGGTTTAGAAAGGGGCCTATTTGCTGAGTTGAGTACGTGGCGTGTAAACAAACTGAAGCGTGGGGAAATTGAAATTGCACCCGAGAATGGGGCTTTTTGGTAGCTTTTCACACTAAATAATATATATTTTTTATTTTTTAAATTTATTTTTAATATTAAAATAATATAAAAAAATTATAATTTAAATTAAAAAAATCATTTTTTTGAAAAACGCTTTTAAATGAGAAAACGATCGGGCTGTGAGTCAGGTGTTAGGGTACTGACGCAATTGCATCCGTCAAGGAAAGGAGAGAGAGCGAGAGGAGAGAGGGGGTGGGGACGGAATGACGGTCATGTCCTCATGGTAGGCGTGAGTTTTACTGATTCTTTTCTTGTTCTCAAAGGAAAATCTTTGTTCTTGTTTCTGGATTCTTCTATTTATTTTGTATTTTGACTGGACTTTACAGGGGTTGTATGTTTATGCGTCTATACGGTATCTCATCATCATTTAAAAAAAATTGTTTGAAATTGTATTTTTAAATTATTTTTATGTGTTAATATTAAAAATAATTTTTTAAAAATAAAAAATATTATTTTAATATATTTCTAAATAATTTTTTTAACAAAAACAATCTATAATAATTATCTAATATTACATTAAATTCACGTGATAGTTAATTATTTTCCGTTGAAAAAAAGAAACCGGAAGTTGCACGTGTTTTTGTCTCATTCTCGTAGCATCCAGCTCCAGGGTTGATTTGACCCAAAATTTACATCATATGTTAAATAAGTTAACTAGTATTTTGACAAATCAATCAAAGTTATGATTAAAAAACAAAAATAACAGTTATTGACTAGAGGATGCTTGAGTACACAGTACAATTGTATTTTTTAAAAATTTTAAATTTATTTTAATATACTAATATTAAAAATATATTTTTAAATAAATATACTTTAAAAATTAACCACGACTTGGCAGGTTAGGATGTATTTCCAAGTTATGGACTAATTTGCAAATATTGAGGAAAAATTTACCAATTCATCCTCGAAAAAAAAAGTTAGCAGTCAGATAAAAAAAGAATTTACACTGGCAAATCCATGACACCCCCGCTTGGCAACAAGAACAATACTCAAAATTGGATTTATATCTTCATGTAGCTTTCTAAATCTCGCTGTTGGTTTTGAAATGGGTGATAGTTGCCCGTGTAAAAAATTCATCAAAATTTAACTCTCATTGAATTAACTTGCAACATGAATCCCACACAGGAGTGAGCAAGGAGCAAATATCCTGTGGCAGCGAATATGAGAGGAGGTGCAAATAATGGCAACCGATTCTAGAGAGATTGTGAGCCAGTAACATAAAGGGAACTTAAAACCCATTCTGAAAGCATGTATTCTTGATTAGATAACAAAATCCGAATCATGAAGTTTTGATGTTTTGCATCACAGGAGGATAAGGTGTCAATTGACAGGTAAGAGAATGGCTGATATCAGGTCAAACATAACTGTCAATTAATGATTTCCTTATCTCATCAACAATGGAAATAGGTTGGAATTCTCTAAACTTCTTTCAATGACAGATAGTTCAGTAGATGTAGTGTCCGACCCACAAAGGATGTCCAGTCATTTACTGTCATTCCAGCGGCTATCACTTCGCTGCCGCGGTTTACAGTAACAGCAACTAAAGGGACCTGGAGAAGGATGGAAAGCTCATCCAGGTCTTCAATGGATGTACGAGGATGGACCTGTCCATAGACCAAACACAAGATTTTAGTGGAAGTTCTGTGATCGCACAACTATAAAAAGTTTGTTCAAGCCTTCAAGGGGAAGCCAGTCTCTCTTACCAAACCGCCTCTGTTGGAGATGGCACAGTAACTCCCCACAAGAATGTTACCAGCTATTGTCTGCCAAAAAACTTCAACCCCTAGAACATCTCCTCGGTTTCCTGATGAAAGTTGCACGTGACAGTAGATGTAAGCACCCAAAAAATAATAACAATGAAAAGTGATAAGATATTATGCCTTTCATTAAAGTGTTCTTCAGAAAGCTTTTTTAAATATTCTTAACTTCTAACAAAACCTTTCTTTAGAACATTTTAAAGCAAAGTTCCACCAGGTGTAGGAATAAGAAGCCATGTTATACCTGTGATTCACTTTCAGGGCCTGAAATGGGATACCTGCTACTCCCGAAGAGTTTGTTCTTGACAATTTTGAGGATCTCCAAACAATTGAATTGCACACAGGGGATGAACCGGTTAGTTTATATACAATTCATTTAGACAGGTTTCAAGCTTAACTTCAGGTCTCCAACCAAGAGAGAAGCCAGCCCTAACTTAAGCACATTACAGAGAAATTAAATGAATGATGAGATCAATAATTGTTTTCAGACATCTCCAATATTTGCAGATGATTATAACAACAGCTTAATTATTATGTCACGAAACAAGTAATTCATGGATATAGAACTTTACCCTGTCAAGGTCATTGTGTCATCATTGCATGCTATACAATTCCCCAGGGCGGATAGTTTCCCCTCAGTCCGCAGAACAACTACTTGATCAGGTAGAATGTTTCTCAAGTGTTGGAGTTCTTCATGAGAAACATAAAACAATTAGTACATGAGATATCCAACAGATAACCGAGAGTTCAAAGTCTTCTATCAAGTGGGTGATCAAAAGAACTTATATTATTAAACATGAGCAAAAGGACATTCTCTTCCATTCATGAGATGCTTGCAGGTCCAACTGTTAACAATAAATTATTGGAAATTGTAAAAGGTAAGATACCAACAAGAGTTGCATTGCAGTACGTCTACAAAATCACATGAGTGATGTCAAAAAAACTAGTCCATCAAACATGTTACAATTGTTCAATGCTATAATCTAGCTGAAACAGCTGCGCTATAAACGTAGCTATAATATTCTGTTCCTACTTTCAGAATCTCATCCAACTCACCTTGATCAGTGGTGGTATGAGGCACAAGATGCCCATTCTTGTTACCTGCCAAAAGAGTACTCTTGCAATCACTAAAGTACTTCATAATTCTCACCAGCACATAGCCGTCCAATTATCCGAGTGCCAGCAATTGAGGTCTTAACAACAGGAATGGCATCAGCTAACTCTGCCTCAAAAGTGCTGCAACACTCTAGAGTCTCATACAAATCATTATAAGTAAGTCAGATAACTTGTCAGCTCAGAATTCAGACTACCTGTAGAAGCTTTCTTATCCAACAATAGCAACTAAGCAGTACGCATTGGTCAACTAACAAAAACACACCAACTTCACAACTATTCTCAAACTGAAGTCCTGCACAAATTCACGCATTAAGCGGCGCACAGATGGAGCAACCACCATCTCCTTAATGACATCATACTTGAAATAAAAAGAACAAATTCAGTAATCATATAAACAACTAGCAAGGAAAGTAATAAACTTGCGGGTCGCCATTAATGATGAAAACAAAGATGGACAGAAAGAGATGAACAAGAGTTGCTGTAAGAAAAACAGAAACGCCACTTTCTTTTTAAAAAATAACAGCAGGGAACAGAATAATTAAGAAGGAAGGAAACTGCACAATATGTCATCAAATCTACAGATGTTAACATGAACTCGTAACTTTAATTTTCCAGTACTATCTTAGAAACCAAACAGAGGCCATGAAACCTAATGGCTACCAAGTCAAACCCCCGTGATCACTCATTTTTCTTTTCATTTGAATCAAGATCACAACAAGGGGAAAAAAACTATGGGGATTTCAAACTGCCAATACAAGGCAGAGCAGCTAACTAAAACACAAGATCAAGACAAGGCGAAAAACATAACAAAATATGGCTCCTAATTGCCGTCATTTTCTTGTTGATCGAGGAACAAAAATAATAAATAGTTGAATATCGAAATAAATTACAGAAATTTATGCTTACTGTTTGTTGTTTTTGCAATGCCGGACACACTGGCGTCTGTGAAGGAGAGAGGATGGAGGGTCGTGTGGTTTTGCACCCGCCAAGGTATTTGTTTATGCCCGATTGCCGCTGCCTTTCTCTTTAACACGATGTCGCCTTGCTTCGTTCTTGGATTCTTGTTTTAGTTTTTTTCCCCTTGTTGGAGGGGAAGCTATAGTTGAACTCTTCTCTTCCTTTTTATTTTATTTTTCAAATTACTAGAGATGTTTTGATACAGTTTCTGAGTCAAGGTGCATATTATAATACCTCGTTTTTAACTATAGTACCTTTTTATTTTAACTATAACCCTCATAGATTGTATTGAATTTTTATATAAGATTATAATGATTTTAAATAAATATTCTAGAATTTAGTTTGTGATTGACTTCTTAAATAATTATTTTTGTTATTATATAATTAAATAAATAATATTTTTAAAAAATAAACCCACCCTAATAAATTAAACTAATAATTTATTATTTTTAAAATTGTATACAACCACATTTGACCGTTAAATTGTTTTAAAACTCTCCAAAGAATGTAAAGGTTTTGCCGTTTTTCTTTAAGAAAAAAAACTGAACTAAATGAAAATTAATCTAATTTTTAGTTTAATCCGATTCTAAAAATATCTGAAAAATTCTGATTTAGTTGGTCCTGTTAAACTAATAACAATGAGCCCTTCGTTTTGTTACTTGAAAAGTAAGAAAAAGACAATATCAACGTTAAGTTTTGATTATATAGTCGTCCACGATGGCCAGTAATGGCTCGTGGTCGTGGGACCTAATTCCTGCCATTACCATGTATCAAACCAGATAACTCCCTTCAGCTCTCGTTTGCACGTATACCTCCATCATGGAGAACATGATCAGCTCTGACCAGATGGGTTTATGGTCATGACTCATGACTAGCTAGCTGCGTGCTGCCCTACAGCTTTCGAAGCGGCAAGTTGGCTTGGCTCGGCTAATAAAGAGACTAATCAAGGCCGAAGTGACATCACCGGTAAGGTGTTTTGTCCAAGATTCAATTTTATTAAAAGTGGTGGAATTAATGAGTTGACTCAGTAAATTGACTGGACTCAAAATTCATGTCTCAGAGTCTGATATAGATGGAGTTTTAAATTAAATTAGAAAATTTATTAATTTAATAGAACCTAATTAACTCGAATAGATTTCCAACGACTCTATCAAATTCGGATTGACTCGATAATCTAGGTTTTTTCTACGTAAATGCCAAGAGTAACAACCATGAATTTATGTCTCTTGGTTCGGCTCAAAACCGGAAGAGTGAGAAGGGAGGCAGCTACCTGCATGACCCCGTAACCCTACTCTTGCAGGCCAAGACAGCCCAAATCACCGTGATTTTGAATTTGAATGATCATCTGGGCTTCATTGTCATCGCTTGGGAGATAAGCCCATGTTCTGGAAAATGCCCAAGAGCTGTAATGGGCTTACTCTAACCTCTCTATATATATATTGCCGTTTGCCATTGATTTTTTTAATGATTGTTTTATTTTACAGACATAATCATATCAATAACTTTCACATTCTCCCTGTTTACAAACATGACATCACTAATCCTGATTGAAAAACATAGAAAGAAGTTTGATTATTTTTTAAAAAATTAAAGTGTAAGAATAATTCTCAAATCAGTTTGTTCAGATTTTTAATTTTTTAAAAGAACTTAAAATATATCATTTAAATATATAAAAAAACTCAATTTATTTCAGTATCACTCAAATCTTCTCGGTTTTAATTAAATTAGTGCTAAATTATAACTATATATATATTCTCATTATTTTGAGTTTAAATTAACCTAACACACACACACACACACACTATTCGACTAATCTGGTTTATTCCTGAAAAAAACTGATTTTTATTGTTTAGACTATCACTGGGATTAACTTCCATGGCATCTGGGATATGAAGTTTTTTCACTTCCATGGCATCTGGGATATGAAGTTTTAAAAAAAAAAACATTGGAAAAGAAATATTTCATAAATATATACAATTTGCAAATGATTTAGTCCTCTAAGATCCGATTAAGAAAATGGACGAACGAAAGCTAAGCAGCTGATAAAAAATTATTGATTGAAAAGGGGAAAAAACTCAGTAACTATATGCAAATACATGTATAAATAGTATTGGATAACCAAAAGGGTGAGTCCGGGAGAGATATTGGTGACGTTTGACAAGGTGCATGGTGGAAGCCATGATGTGGCAGTGAAGGGGAACAGGTGTGGTGTCGTCTGATTTTTTAAGTTTTTTTTGTCCGAAGACGATTGCGTGTTACTTGCGAAATTTTTGCATGTTGCACACTTGTTGAGCTGTGGCATTGTTCCTTTGATTTCATGGCCAAGTCCGTTCCTCCCTTCCTCCTCATCGTCTCATCGCCTTCGAAGCGCGTAAAGGTGCACTCGCCCACCCTCAGACTCAATCTTTTCTTGCCCCTTCTGCTTAAAACCGTACAATTCATACACTACGAGTTAATTTAAATCAATTATATTTATTAAAATTATGCTATCTTATTATTTTTTTTAAAATGTGTTTTATTCCTCAGTAGACATGACAATATTTCCTTTTCGTTTTATTTAGTATTTTAACTCAACTATTTGGTGATTTTTGGCTGTCATTTAATGGAGATTCTATACTAATTCTAGATTTACAACTCAACAAAGCAATTAATGAAATCTTTGTAAATTAATTTAATTTTTTCTATTTTAATAAAAAAATATTATATGAATCCAGTTTGTTGAATTAATTAATAGATTTTCTGCATTGATAATTGGTTATTAAATGATAAAGATTAAAAAACAATATCATGTTGTGCTTGGCTAGAAATAAAATTTTTTATTTTATCAGATTTTTTTTAAAAAAAGGTTATTTTTTAAAAAAAATAACATGATTAAAAGAATAACAGTTAAGAAAGTAAAGGTTACATATAGTGTTTTTAAACTTGATCTGATGGTCAACCTAACCTACAATTCAGGTTATAGATTTTCACGGAATCACCTCAATTAATCCTAATTTTTTATAAGTTAAAATGATTTTGTTTTGATAAAAAATAAAAAAATAATTAATGAATTGCAACCAAATTTATTATAGAATCTTGTCAGATTTTAAAATTATAATTACACCTATTGAAATAAAAAAAATTATTTTATTTAGCTTTTATTTTTCATATTTATCTATTTTTTAAATGTGTGATATATATATATATATATATATATATATATATATATCTATGTATGAAGAAAACAACCGATGTCCTTTTATCATCAATTTTTTTTTATAATTACTAATTTATCTATTGAGTTAATGAATTCTATTGAAATATAAAGTATATATATATAAAACAACCGATGTCCTTTTAACATCAATTTTTTTATAATTACTAATTGTTAATGAATTCTATTGAAATATAAATTTACTATAACTAACCTAGTAAGAATCCTAATTGAATTCTTATTTGACTACAGCTGCTCATCTTTATTGATAGTTATTATAATTGTTAATATTAGCCTATTACATTAAAAAAAAAAAACTTACATTGATCACAACTAATCATTTTGATTGATAACTATAATCCCCACAAATAATTAATCTTATTAATAATTATCATAATTATTAGGAATAAAATGTCATGAATTAGTTGTTTTGATTTGCAGGATAAGTATTATTTTAAATTTTAAATTAAACTAAAAAAATAAAATTCTATAGGTTATGTTTTTCCAAAACATTTTTTTTTCAAGAAAGTGCTATTTTGAAAACAAAATTCCTTTTACCATCGCATATTTTCTTATAATTAATTATCATGTCATGGAATCTATTGCACCAATCAATATAAATTGTTCTCGTCCAATAAACGAGCATGCACATTTTTCTTAATAACAAGCAAAGGTTTTAATAGCGAAGACAGGATATAATTAAGCAGAGAAATACGAGCTAATTCAATTTTGAAGAACCAAAAAAACACTCTACACTAGTTGGCTTTGCAATAATATGAACCATTGTACTCAAATAATTTCATTGGATTATCTTAATCAATTTACAAAACCTTCATGTAGATATAATCTAAAGTTAAACCTTGTATGTACGTGAACAAAATCAGAAATGACGACAGACAAAATTGAGAAATTAAAAAAATATTATTTTTTTCTTTTTATTTATTTGTCATTAAGCAAGGGGCAGTGTTGATTAACGAGGAGACAAAATAATTAATGTCCTAAATCCAAATATATATATATATATATATGTGTGTGTGTGTGTGTGTGTGTGTGTGTGCGCGCGCGCGCGCGCGCGCGCGCGCAAGTTGAAGGGGCAGCCTGCAAAGGCGCGTGCAGCTATCAAAATCAGAGAAGTTCAAAATCAAACAAAGAAGACGTTTGTCTCGGAGATTAAGATCTTTATCAAACAAAGAAGACGTTTGTCTCGGAGAGTAAGATCTTCATATATTCATTCTTACTTTATAATATATCATCATCAACCAACAGAAATCAGCCAGCCCCACCATTTATGTCCCCTTCTAGCTAAGGAAATTTCCCATTTCGTTTTATGGTCTCTTGCTCTTCAATCTGTATCCTCTTAATAGCTCTAAACTCACGCACAGAACATCTCTGCCCGGTTGAGGTTTGGTTCTTGATACTTATGAGTGTAAAGCAATTGAGAAAGAATGGCGGGTTCTTTTTCTAAAGGAGGGAATAATAGTTATGATTATTCGTTCAAGATTCTGTTGATAGGAGATTCTGGTGTTGGCAAGAGCAGTCTTCTTTTAAGTTTCATCTCCAGCTCTGTTCGTGACCTTTCTCCTACTATTGGTACTTTCTTTCGTTTCTTTTTGGTTATCTTTCTTTCAGTGGCAAGTTTTCACTGGATATGCAGCATAGGCAGGACTCTGTAGCTGTCCTCTGGTTACATGCAAGGAATTTTGACAATTTGGTTTATTTTTGTTTGGTGAAACTTTTTTGTTTTAGTTTTTGTAAATTTTCTGACTGGAACTAGGAGAGACGAGCCACCCATGCTTGTGCCTAGACATGGATCAATAATCTTCGTTTTAATTCGTAGACCTTTTAGGATTGAAGTAGCAATGGACCTTTCAGGATTCTTGCTCAACTGGTGCCTGCAAGTGGCTTCTGGGTTGTCCTTGTAACGTCTTTCGGATAGCAGATGAGGTGATTGCAATTTTCAAAGGCATGGATAGATAACAGACAACACAGTGGCCGTTTTCCCCCATTGTTTGATTAATTTCTTCATGTGATAACTTCATTTTCTGAAGACATTGGATGATGCCATGAACTCTAATTAGATCCATTGAGTGCACTAAAATCACTAGCCCTGCTTGTTTCACATTATTCTTCAATTTTGAATTGCTCTAAACGCTATGGTGTTTTAGAGGGAAACGTTTAAAATATGTGCAGGTGTGGATTTTAAGGTCAAGATGCTCACTGTTGGTGGGAAAAGATTGAAGTTAACAATTTGGGACACAGGTAATGATAAAATGGAACCATTTTATTACATGTTACTTCTCTGTTGGAACCATTTTATTACATGTTATTTCTCTGTTCGTTGTTAATCCCCTCTGCTTTGAGACCTAAAGAGAAGTTCAATACTACTATGAAATTAAGTTCGCCAACGATTTATTGGAATTCAACACTATCCCCTTTGATAAACGTATCAAATTGGAGTTGACAGGGCATTTCTTTCCACTGGAGACATTATTGCATAATTGGTGTGTAAATGATGTGTTCTGTTTTATTGCAGCCGGGCAGGAGCGGTTTGGAACATTAATAAGCTCTTATTATAGGGGTGCACATGGAATTATCCTAGGTATGTATTCCAGCTATAATTATAGGACAATTGAAACAACCTAGATTGGTCAAAATGTTAGTTAACAACACACGCAGAGGTATGATTATTTTGCACTGGTCATTGCAGTGCTGAAAATGTACAAAATATGAATGCTATGGTGATTGTTGCTTAAATGCTTAAGGCGAAAGCCAATTATGCTGTAAAGCAGAATTGAACATATCGATGGTCCTTAAATTTTGTGAGATGCGAGGTTGCACAGCTTATAGGGCTGCCTTATCTTCCCTTCTGCTGATGCATAAGAACTGGGAAGAAAATAAGGCCTATACCTAACTGCAATATTAGTTAGCTTTTCCTTTCAATATGCACGATCTATAAAGTCTTGATTGGTTTGTGCTTTGATTTTGTTTTAGTTTATGATGTGACACGGCGAGAAACTTTTGAGAACTTGTCCGATACATGGGCTAAGGAAGTGGAGCTCTACTCCACCAATCATGACTGCATCAAAATTCTTGTTGGAAATAAAGTTGATAGGGTAAGTTGAGTGGCCGATGCTTCGGACAAGTGCATAGCTGCACATAAAATATTGGAGTCCATGGATTATATTGCATTCCATGTTGGAGAGGTCACGGGTTCTCAAATTTTTGAAACTTAGTTAGAGAGACAATTCTTGGATTTGTTTCTCTTACTATATGATATCTTTAATTTCTGTGTATCTAACGGGTAGGTTGTTTTAATGATGCAATGTTTTCAGGATAGTGAAAGAGCTGTAAGTAGAGAAGAGGGCATGGCTCTTGCTCAACAGCACAAGTGCTCATTTTTCGAATGTAGTGCCAAAACCAGTGAAAATGTTTTGCAATGTTTTAAAGAACTCACATTAAAGGTACTTCTTGACGAAGGAAACACCCTTTACTTTTAGTATTTTTCTGAACTCCTGAATTTGCATTATGCTCTGTTAGTTCGTAATGGTAGTTAAAGCTTATGAAAGAATGCTTAAGGAGTAAAACACCACCTCAATCCCTCTTGCAAGCGTACTCTTATGAAAGAATGCATGGCAATGTTACGAACTTCATTGGTAGTTGGAAACCGTAGTTGAAAAGTTCACTTAACAAATGTAGAATGCTTGCTTTACGGCCATCAGTTTGTTTAACATCTCGTTCAAATTTTGATAAATTCTTGTGCTTTGCAGATACTTGAGGTACCTAGTTTATTGGAAAATGGCTCAGTAGTGGTGAAGCAACAGATTATGAAAGACAAACAAGTATGTCAAGCACCTCGTGGTGGTGGCAGTTGTTGCTCCTAACTGAAGTACCTGTAATCTCGGGATCCAGTAAAGCTCAGGTAGTGGCAAATCAGTGAAGATAAGTCGTTACTAATGGCAATGTGGGTGGCCTGATCTCATTGCTCTGCAGACAATTTTAAGCTCTTCTGGTGATAATCTTTACTGCTTCCATTGTAATTCGTGAAGTTTTGGGAAGTCTTTTTTTTTCACTTGATGTATCATGGGAAGCAAAGTAGATGTGTACAGTGCCACTGAACTTATAGCTCAACTGGCTTTTGCACCTCGAGTCTTGGGTTTAAGACTCTTATTTGTAAAAAAACTTTTTTTTTAAAAAAATGAATACACAGAGTTGAGTGCAGAAAATAAGACCTTGGTCTTAATTGATGATAAAAATACTGGGCTTTTGGATTAGAGGAAGAGAGCAATCATATGATTTTCAAGTAGTTTAATCTTAATCACAAGGACTTATGGGACGGGACTGTAATGGGTAATTAGATCTCTCTTATAGAACAGGAGGGAATTTTCTCTCCATCTAATGGAAAAACAAACAATGAGCATATATAAATATTAATTTTAGATATAAATAGTAAAAATATAAATTTAACAACAAATTATTCAAAAAATATACAAGATATTTTTTTTTCTCAGAAACCGTCTTAAATCTACTTTAAAGATGATAATCGGATAGGCCTGCACTGCTGAGACCTGCATGATGCTCGATTCACCCTAATCGTCAAATTGTTTTTTACTACTTTTCAATAATCAGAGCAACAAATTGTGGTATGAAGAATGGACGGCCCGTCCTCCGATGGGAGTGGCATGTGTCAAGAGGCAGGAATCAATAGCTAACATATACCTCTGCCTGACTCAGCTTGACCGCCCCTGTTGGGCTGAACAAGGCTAGGGAATCAAGATTATTCCAAAACTTTCACATCAACCAACATTGCATGCCGGCTGCCCTGCTTCCTGTACAAGACCAGCCAAGACTGCATCGTAATATCCCATGTAATAATAGAGTACATCCATTCCCCAGGCGTTCATACCAAACTGATAGTTACAAATTTTTCCTTCCCTTCTGCTTGTTTTTTCTTGACCCTTCCTTAGGCAGCTTTGTTCTCTACTTTTCTTACAAGAAACAAGACCACCAAACTTGGCTGCATAGACATACAAGCTGTTGGGTGCATAACTAGATCTACTCTAAAAGAGAGAATTCAATTGCATGCACTTTATACTTTGCAATGGCTTCTCTGGGCTGCCCAAGGGGACTAACAGTGTGTGCAGCACTGCTAGCGGTGTTCCTTGCGAGAGCTAGTGGGATTGATATCTTCCTTGAATGGAATGTTGCACTTGACAATACCATCAGACCTGTTACAGTTGAACAACCAGTATGAGTTTATTATCAATCATTTTCCGTTGCTTTCTTTGCATTTAACCCTCCCAATCTGTGGTTTTGGTTTTTATAGTGGAAAAATTGTTCAGTTTTTCAGGTTATCACCATCAATGGTATGTTCCCTGGACCTCTGATCAATGCTACAACAAACGATTTCGTCCATGTCAACGTTTTCAACAATATGGATGAGCCTTTGCTCTTTACATGGTAATGTACCTGCAAAGAATATCTTGCTTTAAGAATGATGGTTTTCATCATAATGCACCAGAGCAAATTTTCTTGAATTCATGTCTTAACATCTCATGTATCCATATAATTTTTGGAATAAAAATATGCTTTGATTAAGGTAATGCTCCTGTAGGAATGGTATACAACAGAGGCTAAATTCATGGCAGGATGGAGTTTCTGGGACAAACTGTCCTATTCAACCTGGTAAAAACTGGACTTACGTGTTTCAGACCAAGGACCAAATTGGCAATCATTTCTACTTTCCTTCTATCAACTTCCAGAAAGCTGCTGGAGGATTTGGGCCAATTCGAGTCAACAATCGCAATGTTATCCCTGTCCCCTTCCCAAAACCAGAAGCTGAGTTTGATCTTCTGATAGGTGATTGGTTTTATGACAGTTACAATGTGAGTGACCGAAATTTGTTTAGGATAACACATGACACTTATTGTCGAATCTGTATAATGACAACCCATTTTTATTGGTGTGAAACTTTCACAGAAAACCAGATCAATGATGGCCTCCATGGCAAATATTATCACCCCAGATGTTATTCTAATGAATGGAAAAGGCCCTTATGGCCATTCATTATCAAAAGCCTATGAATCCTTTACCGTCACACAAGGTAATTAAAATAACCCCTTCCCACCCCAAAAATGAAAAAAAAAAAGAAAAGTAAAGAAAAACCTAAATTATGGGAATTTGGGATTTGGTCCATTAGGCTTATAGTGCTATGTGATTAATGTGCACTGGCTTTCGCTTGAATTTGTTATGCAGGAAAGACTTACAGATTCGGGATATCAAATGTTGGGAGTGCATTCAGTTTCAACTTCAGGGTTCAAAATCATAAGATGGTTTTGGTGGAAACAGAAGGGTCTTACACCAATCAGATGACACTGGATTCTCTTGACGTGCATGTTGGTCAATCCTACTCAGTTCTCGTCACAGCTGATCAGAATGAAGCTGATTACTATATTGTGGCAAGCCCTTTGTTGCTCAACTCTAGCAGTCCTGGGGGTTTCGATGGTGTAGGGGTGCTACGCTATTCGAACTCCCTTACACCAGTTAATGGTCCTCTCCCAGGAGGTCCTGATCCATTTGATCTGGATTCTTCGGTCAATCAAGCAAGATCTATCAGGTAAATTTGGAAAAGGTTGCAATTCATTAAATATTTATATAAAAATATAGTGTAATTTCAACTAGTAATGCCATTATGTTTTTTGAAGTAAAAGATTCATTATTTTCCATAAGGTCTATGAAACAATTGATGTATTTGTTCATGAATGATTGTTCAGTCTTTAGGCCTGACCCTTTTCCAATTCTAAGGTATTCATTCATGCTTGTCCTGTACTTCTCATTGCTTGCTTTCTTCATACTAGGTGGAACCTGACAGCAGGAGCTGCGAGGCCTAACCGACAAGGAGCTTTTAATGTAACAAATGTTACCTTGTCTCAAAACTTCATCCTAGACGGATCAACGGCAGAAATTGGGGGCGCACAACGTTATGCTGTCAACAATGTGTCATACTACACCTTAAACACCCCATTGAAACTGGCAGATCACTTCGTCAATGGGTCTGGTGTTTACCAACTAGATCGGTTTCCAGTTAATTTTGTCAATGCTAAAGCTGCTTATGGAGTTTCTGTTGTTACTGGAATTCACAAAGGGTGGATAGAACTTGTCTTTGTGAATAGCTTGAATACCATGGATGCATGGCATTTAGACGGTTTTGGGTTCTACGTTGTTGGGTAAAAAACCTAAACCATCACCGCTTCTGTAATTCCTTTCCGAAGCTGAGACATTGACTTATAATTTATGTGAAATTGTTTTCTAGATTTGGCAATGGATTGTGGGGACCTGAGGCTCGCAATGATTACAATATTTACGACCCAGTTGTCCGGTCCACCGTGCAAGTGTACCCCAACGGATGGACTGCAGTATATGCATTCCTAGACAATCCTGGAATGTGGAACCTCCGGTCACAAAGCTTGAAAAATTGGTACTTAGGCCAGGAACTGTATATACGAGTCTTTGACGATGATCCTAATCCTGCCAAGGAGCGTCCACCACCTAATAACCTACTTCTATGTGGTTAGTGAGATTTTCATGAACTTGTAGCGTAATTTCCTTTTATCCAATTTGGTCATCTTTGTTGGTAATTTTGGTTGCCTGTATTAGGTATTTTTGCTGGTGAATCTGAGGCCCCGGCCAGCGAACCAGGCCCTGCTCCATCTCCTGGATGGTGAATTGATGACAGCTGATAGACTTGATCAAGTCATAATTCATAAACAAGATATTTAAGGATACTCTGGCTTATATACAATCTTTCTAATTAAATTGTTATCCTACACTTAATTTATTTACATTTCATCAAATAACTATCCAATTGGTACTAATTTGTAATAATAAGGAAGATATTTATTTGCTAGTGGATTATATAATAATTAATACAGGCTTTAGGATGCCTTGTTGCAATATCAATATCATTTTCTTTTTGTATTGCAAGAACAAAAATTATATGTTTCATTTGAGACACTTTTACTGTAATTGAACTTTAGTCATATGGTATCTATAGATACTGAATTTGATTCACCAGTAAGTAATACTAGTTTTACATGTATCATCGTCGGGAAAAAATCTCTTGCTTTGAATGACTGGATCTCACTAAAAGAATCAAAGATAGAGACTGAAAGGACATGGAGGACAACCTATAATTTTAACATAGCACAAGCCTTGCCACCCACCAGTTTTGGGAGCAATCAATAGCTTTCTGAGCAACGAAATCATAGACCTTGCTATATATCTGGATATATACTGGCCCGTCAATCGTTGGGCTCTTTTTTTTTTTTCGGTTGTCTGTTATTATTAACGTATAGATGAAGAGTAACTCATCGTTATAGCTATTATCATGCTCGATGTAATTTTTATTTTTTATTTATTTATTAATATAAATAATATTAATATCAGTTGGGTTGAGTGGAGTTTTCTCTTCATAAATTATCCATATTCATTTTTCCCTTAATATAGAATGTCATCATCACGGAAAACTTATCTATCTATATATAGATAGATAAGTTTTCCATGCCCCTTTTATTTTTTCTTTTTGTTTTTTTTTATTGTGATGATGACATTTTATATATATATATAGTTATTAAATTAATTAGGATTCAACATGGTCAGCCGGCTGACTTTTTAAAAATAAATAAATAAAAATAATATAATTTTAAGAAATTGAAGTTTGATTAGGGAATACATGGTTGATTTTTTTCACACCTGACTTAGACGGGGCAATGGGCGAAGTCTAATTGAATCGAGGCCAATTCAATTCCATGATCTTGTCTAAGTATAGATAACACAAGATCATCAATTCAATTCCATGATCTTGTCTAAGTATGTTTTTTTTTTTTTTTAATTTCAGTTGCTATGAAACAAACTCTTCGCACATCATCTAAAGAAAATTCTCGACATCTTGTTATTATGTCTATCAAAAACGAGGTTAAACATGCCGACCATAGGACATGTTGTTTTTATGCCAAACACCATTAAGAAAACTGTTCCTAGAAAAAAATGTATTATTATTATTATAAATATTATTATTTTTTAAAATATATCCGGTCTGTTTGAAAGTGTATGGTATATAAATATTATTATTTTTTAAAATATTTTTTGTTTGAATCTATTAAAATAATATTTTTTTAATTTTTAATATTAATATATAAAAACAATAAAGAAAACTTTGAAAAATATTAATTTAAAACTTTTTTAAAAAGCATAGTTTGATCACGGTGAGGAAAAAAAAATCTTATTTCAGGAGTATCCAAATTTGGGTGGAAAGAGAGTTTTTTTAAAAATCATTATAACAAGAAAATTAAAAAGTAGACACATACATACAATATAGAGTTCCTCTATGACTCGTGTTGGTTCTGTTTATATATGTGTGTTCAGGAGACTCCTACTTAATATTTAAAGCTTTATAAGATAATAATAAAAAAAAAACCACCCGTCTGTTTATGTTTGGAAGGACCAATCAAGGCAGCAAGATGAGTTGGCAAATCTGGATTCCTAGGTGATTTCTCACACACAAGACCTTGGTATTTGCTTCGGTAACTTAACAAGAAGCATTGTGCTGAACATATCAAGGCCTGCGTGTTTCTACGAAGTTTGGCTCCATTGATGCATATAAAATACGTTGACCTTTGCCATTCAACTAAGTTATTTCTCTTCGTGTTCTTGCTCCAGTTTTATCCTCCCTTCTTTTCCCTTTTGTTTTGCTTCATCTATATGATCTTGATTACTGTAATTAATCAATCCCTCTAGTTTGATTAGGTTGACGAGCCTCCAAGAGGGGAAAAAACATATATATGGCCATCTTCGGCAATCAAATTCTACAACTGTTTTTTGTCTTCGTCGGGATAGCCAACAGTGAGGAAATCTTTCAAGAATGGCACGTAACAATTGACAGAACTATCAGCCCAGTATCCAACGAACAACCGGTACTGATGTATCATAACTATAAATCATCTTTTCTTTAACTCGCATACACCTTGGTTTCTTAGTTTGCATGGATTCATCTGTTTGTGTGTTTTCTTAACAGGTTATCCTCATCAATGGGAAGTTCCCTGGACCCCTTATCAATGCCACAACCAATGATATGATCCATATTAATGTGTTTAACGATATGGACGAACCAGTTTTATTTACATGGTATCAGCAATAACTCTTTAATAATTGCTCATCAAGATCCTCTTTTGGTTTTTAAATGGTCCTGATGGCGTGTGTATACGGTGCAGGAATGGGATACAACAAAGGCTGAACTCCTGGCAAGATGGTGTGGGCGGCACGAACTGTCCAATCGTGCCGGGCTCAAATTGGACCTATGCGTTCCAAGTCAAGGACCAAATTGGCTCTTTCTTTTACTTCCCTTCCATCAACAACCAGAAGGCTGGGGGAGGGTTTGGTCCCATTAGAGTTAACAATCGTATTGTTATCAGTGTACCATTCCCAAAACCTGAAGATGAATTTGACCTTCTCATTGGAGACTGGTATCCAGAGAATTACAAGGTGATTTATTAACATTATTATTGATATTATTCAAGAGATTTATCTGTAATCATTAATTATTTAAGAATTAATGAATAGCGTTATGGTTTTAACTTGATGATGACTAATTAATTTGGTATATATAATATAATGCAGAATCTTGCATACATGCTGATAGACAACTACACGCTCCCTCTGTGGATTTTAATGAATGGAAAAGGCCCATTTTTGAATACTTCTACGAAAGTTTATGAATCCTTCACGGTTGCTCAAGGTAATGAGGTCCCAATGCTTGCTATAAAAATTAATATTTGGTGCACTCTGAAATTAAATAATTTCTTCTTCTTTTTTTCTCGTATCTTCTGTGATATGCAGGGAAGACATACAGATTTAGGATATCCAACGTGGGAAATCAATGGAGTTTCAATTTTAGGATTCAGAATCATCACATGTTGGTGGTAGAAACTGAAGGATCATACACTAATCAAATAATGGTGGACTCCCTCGATGTCCATGTTGGCCAATCCTACTCAGTTCTAGTCACGGCTGACCAAAAGGCAGCTGATTATTACATTGTGGCAACACCAAAAATGGTTAATATCACTGAATACGCCAATCTTGTGGGCATAGGGGTGCTACATTATCTCAATTCTAGTACAATGGCTGCTGGACCTCTTCCAAGTGGACCTGACCCATATGATCTACAATTCTCCATTAATCAAGCCAAGGCCATCAAGTAAATCTTCCTTTCTTTTTCTCATGAAATCAAGTAAATCTTCTTGATAGCTAGTGACAATTGTTTGATTACATTCGATATTTTCCTTCCCTGCTAGGAAACTCTCAGAATTTGCAAATCTTTTATCTGTGAATTCAGGTGGAATATGACTACTGGGGCTGCTAGGCCTAATCCACAAGGAACCTTCAACGTGACCAATGTGACACTGTCACAGACATTTATCCTCACAGGATCAAGAGCTTGGGATACTAGTGGTTTTCCTTACTACACAGTCAACGATGTGTGGTACACAGAAACAGATACCCCATTAAAGCTGGCTGATCTAATGACAAATGGGTCTGGAGTCTATGAACTTGATAAATTCTCTACTAACTCCAGCAATGGAAACCTAAGACATGGAGTTTTTGTAGCAAGTGGAAACCATAAAGGGTGGTTAGAAATTGTGCTCAAGAATGATTTAGATGTTATAGATTCTTGGCATTTGGATGGGTACAGTTTCTATGTTGTTGGGTAAGTACACGAGAATGAACATCGACTTTGTTTTTTTATTTCAACATGCATAATTAAATATAAAATTTTAATTTTTAATGTATAGATTCGGTGATGGAAACTGGACTCCTGAATCTCGTAATAATTACAATCTTTATGATCCTGTAGTTCGCTCTACCATTCAGGTATATATTAATGGACCTGATAAATCAAATAATTTCTTTTAAAAAAATATATATAAATGAATGTTGAATTGATTTTAGTAAATACAATATATTCTTGGTTAGGTTTATCCTAAAAGGTGGACTGCAGTCTATGCATACCTTGACAATCCTGGGATGTGGAATTTGAGATCACAGAGTTTGAAAAATCGGTATTTGGGCCAACAGCTCTACTTGAGAGTTTATGATGCTGACCCCAACCCTGCGAAGGAGAGACCACCCCCAGATAACCTTCTTCTATGTGGTAAATGCTTTGTCCTCTCTCTCTCTCTCTATATATATATATATTCTTGTTTTTGTGATGTTTTTCTATTCAAAATTAACAATGTTTTATTTATTTATTTATTACTTGTTCGCAGGAGCCTTCGGTTACTTAGCTCCCCCCCCTCCTCCCTTTCCTCCACCTCCGTCACCTCCTGCTCCTGCTAGCCCTTCTCTTTCTCAGGCATCATCGACACAAATAACATGGTAAACAAAAAAGTTTTAATAAAAATAATAATACTTCATGTCTTTTTTAAAGCGATTTAATGCCTTGTTAAAAATATATTAGTAATGAGAAGATTTTGATATATTATTATTATTATATTGGATAGATAATACAGCTCATAATGTTTTTTTTTTTTAAATTACAACAATTTAAAATTAGGTTCCTTTGACATTCCATTAAGAAATTGTACTGCTTTCAAGCAGGAGGATTCAACTGAAGAATACCTAATACTTGAGGAATTGAACCCTCTATTATAGTTTGGAGAAAACGTTGAGAATTCATATCATAGATAGTTGGGGGACTAATTAGCTGGTAATTTCACAAGGGATGCCTCTTTGTAATTTGACTAAGAAGTCTCTTTTCTCACTGTTGCATACGCTCTGTAGGTATTATTACATCACTGTGATCTGCATGGTTTCAATGCTCTACCTCGGCCAGCAATAGCTCATCACAGCCTGAAGTCGAAGGTGAAAATGAAATGAAACTCCAGGATGTGGCTCTGTAATCCGAGACTTCATTGATTTGGCGCGACGCATCCTTGGAAAGCCTTGCAATTTTTTATTTCTTTCTTGGTGTTTGATGTCAATGCCAATTAAAAAAACATTAAAAGACATTCCTTGAGAATTCTTCCACTTGAATTGAGGAAGTGCTGAGGTCCTTCATTCGACTCCCAAATTTGATTTCTTCTTCTTCTTCTTTCATTAACAAAGCAAGGCCAAGTTCTTGAAGTTGAAGCGAAAGAAAGTGAGGCCAAGAGGCACGAAAATTGAGAGGAATGATGCAGGGATCGATAAGTTTTTATATTTAAGATTCACAAAATCCGGATGAAAAAGAATTTTGTAAAATAATATTTATATTTACCATCCTAGATGCAGGAAGAACTAACATGGGGAAGAAGCATGCACAATTGCCTTTTTATTCAAGTTCACTGTTTCCCCTTTGAAAATGCAAGGAATGAACCGAAGAAGAAACGGTTTCCACCGTTTTGATTTATTAATTTTGTTTCTAAGAATGTCTTTTATATGGTGATCTAAATTACCATATTTTACTCAATTCTTTTACATCATTTCTAGAAAGCATAGAAATTTTAATAAAATATTATGGTTTAAAATATTACCATCTCAAATATTAAAAATTAAATCTCAATTGAAATTTAATCGCTAAAAATATTATATAAATATATTAAAGGCCAGCCTTTCTGAATTACAATTCTAAAGAAAAGAAATTTAATATTAAAAATAATTTTTTTTAAAATACCTATCTAGCTTTTTTAAAAAAAAAACCTTTGAAAAAATAAGATAAGAATTAAAAAATAAAATTTATTTCTTCTAAATATATTTATCAATTAAAATTAAATTAAATTCGATTGCAGCAGCAGAACCAAACAAAATGTTAGCTATCCTCAAAGTTCCTTGAGGTGAAATTATTGGTCTCAAATTCAATATAATAATATTTATATAAATCAGCGACATCCCATCAAATGGCCTATTAGCTCAGTTGGTTAGAGCGTCGTGCTAATAACGCGAAGGTCGCAGGTTCGAAACCTGCATGGGCCATTCTGTTTTTGTATTGGCGTTACTTTCTTTATTCTTTTTTCTTTGTGCTGCCGTTAGTTTACACACCCTGATTTCAACGGCAGTTGGCCTTTTTTTATGGAGACTTTTTGGGTCTAAGATAAAGTAATAACCATAAGTATTGACTTTACGATATAATATTTTTCGGGCAAGTTGTGTGTGTATTAAGATGGACTGAAAAAAACTAATGTGAAATTTATTTCTGCAACCCCTTAATAATAATATTGTAATTAAATTGAGATAATAATATATTCATTTGATGCGTGGACCAATAGCTTAAATGTACTTCAGTATTAAAATAATATTTAGTTAAGGCATGTTTTATTTTAAAAGTAAACTACAACTTGTCAAATACCAAACATTACTTTACTACTATTATTTTCATAGATTATCAATCAAAGGACACACAACACAGTTTTTTTGTTTTTTTTCAATTTCTTGAAAATTACCTTTTGAATTCTTTTATGTTTGACTACTTTTGGAAAACTAACGAGCATAATTCACTTTCTAATAAAAAAAAGGTTTTAGATGAAGGAAAGCAGTTCTTTTTGTTAAAAAAAAACACTTTTCCTGAAGGATCCAACCAAAACCTAAAATGATAAAATACTTCATCATTCTTTATATATATATATATATATATATATATACAATATCATGAGAAAAACAATAAATCACGAATATATTTATATAGAAAACAATATATTAGTATATATTAAAATACAATATAAAATATATTAATTTGATATATTAATGCATATAATACTTTAATTTATAAAATATTGTTAAAAGATACATTAGAATACAAAACATATTATATTATAGAAGAATCATATACTTTCAATCATATAAGTTGTGTTATGAAATTAGAACACCATAGAAAATAAATTCATTTTCAATGTTCTCCAATCACCAAAAAATGTTTGATAAAAATCAGAATTTTATCATTTTAAGAAAGTTAATAACTACAAAATATTTATTTTCTAATTTATTTTACTTGATATGTAAAAATATCATAAAATAATTTCCAACTCATTTTTCATTAAATGCTGGAAAATAATCTATTTTCTCAAAATATTTTTATAATATTATTAAATATTATAAAACAATTAATTTTTTAGGAGTTTACGCTTTCCAAAAAATAAACAAAGCCCCGAAGAAATCATTCATTTTGAATTGATATATTTTTTGATGTTTTATTTTCAACCATAAAAAGTATTTTTGAACCAATAATATATGTTAATTGAGACTAGTTTTTTTGAGACAATCTTAAGATTTTATTTTCATGCATTATCGATTCGCCGTATCTAGAAAAAAATAAATTCTTGAATGATGATACTAACATTCAAACTCAAAAAATTAAAAGAAAAATGGAAGAGGGTTTTAGCCTCTTAATCTGACCATCCTATCTTTGAAGTTACTTTTTATCTATGTTTGGACTTGGAGATGATAGCATAGAAAGCATTGACTTAATTGCATGCCCTCCTCTAAGTCCTCTTGAACCAGGAAAAGAGGCCACGAGTATCACTGGTGCGCAATCTGGCTCACTCACTTCTAACCTCACAACTTGTGTCTAATTATGTACCTCAAAGAATTGACCTAACTCCTAAACTAGCCCTAATTAACTACACAAGTAGACCCCCTCATTGGCGACCTCACAATCACACATCTCTCGCTCGCTCTCTCTGAGGTAGACCGACAGCTGCTCTCCTGTATATCTAGACAGCCACTCTTACTTAAGAACAGCTAATTATATCATGATGCTTAAAAAATGTCATACCTGGACAAGGTTTTGGTACAAGGCTCATTGTCTTCATTAATCCCTTGATGGAAATCATCGCCAACTTTGTGCTTAACACATGCATGCTTGCTTATGCCATAAGTTTTTTGTATGGGTCGATCGGCCTGCTTTTACGAATAGATGTGATTCGGTACTTAACAATTCAGATTGTTATATTCGCTAAAAACTTCTCTAGTGACACCTTTGTTGATGGTTAAGTAAGGTGGTAGTGATTCATTGTCCAGGGGTTGGTAAATTACTGTTGCTTGTCGCTCAAGACTTTGATCCTAACTGCTTAGTTAATTGATCAGATCTGATGTAAATGCAGTGTTAATACACTTGCATAAATGCAGCGAGAGAGCACATAGAGTGGAGAAGTAGAAGAAGAATCCAAAGGTTTAGAGCCCCATTTCAACATGTTAAATGTTAGGCCTTGAAGCAGTTGATAATTAATGGCATATACTGCTGAGGTAGATTGAGTAGGGTAGTGGCTAACAAGAAGGTGGACCAAGCCAAGGAAAGAACAAAGAGTAGATAAGTAGAGGGGGCATTTTTTTAAAAGCAAATTGTTATTTTAAGAGAGAAAAGGGGCAAGAGGTTGATTGTTTTTATGGGAAATGCAGTTCCTTACTGGCTCTTCTTATGTTATCATGCTTCATTTTTATTATATTTTTTGTCACCAGAACTTGAGAAGGAAAGAGAAGCTAGCGCAGAGAGGCATTCTTGTAAATGAAACAAAGAAAATCAACAAAGCAACAAACTTTTTGGCTTTGGTGGGGTGACCAACACAAGCTAAACACTCTCTCTCAAGCGTGTAACACATTCCTTTCCCACTCAAAAAGAACAAAAACTAGTGATAAAGAGACAGAAAAAGATGCCTGCATATCATGCACTTCTCATGGATTAGTAGAGTCTTTTTGGACAGCAGAAATTGCTAGCTCATACAAGCAATTCAAGTCCACTACATTGCAGCATTTGATCGGGCTAAATAATTGAAAGAATTAAAAGAATGTTATATTATGATCTTTTCAAGTTACAAGGGATAATTAAAAAAAAAATATATCTGCTGAATCAATAATAAGTGGCCATGTCTGATCAAATAGAAGAAAACAAAATAAACTTTTCAACAACATAAGAAGAAAAAAAGAAAAAGAAAAATACAACCTTCTTCAGTAATGACAATCCACCAGAGCCGGGCTGGTGAAGACAAGAGATGTGTTTTGTTGCTTCTGCTGCTGCTGTTTTTGTTGTTGCTTGGAAGCAAAGACAAATTTATCATCTTCTGGGGCTGGAAGGTTGAGATCCAAATCCAAAGAAAGTACGTTTCTTGCTCTCTTGGGTTCCTCAGATTCTATAGTCATTGGTGTTAATGACAAGGTTGTGGTACTAGACACAAGAGGACCCCGGTGCCGCCTCATATGACCACCCAAGGCCTGTCCAGATGTAAACTCCGCACCACAAACTGAGCACTCGTGAATCTTGCCTTTATTGTGATTGCTGTACGTACCTCTATTAGTATTGTTTTCACTCAATTGAAGAGAAAGAGATGAAACATTCTTGTAGTGTCCATCTTCTTCATCAGAAGATATCGAAAGATTTTGCTTCTTCTCATCATTGTGGATTGCCTTGGGCTTCTTATGACTAGCCCTATGTCCACCTAACGCTTGAAAAGATGGAAATGTTCGGCTACATGTTTTGCACTCATAAACATAGTAACCAACCCTGCCAGAACCTGTGGAATTAGCGGTTTCTAGGAATTTTCTACTATTGAATTTGGCGGTGTAAACGCCTCCTCTTGAATCATGATCATGATCATGATCATGATCTTGATGATGATGATGTTGTTGTTTTGGGAAATCTCTTGAATGGCCTTTGGCAAGTAGGATAAGACAATTGGCCATGTCTTCTTCTTCTTCGGTGCTATCTTGAAATTCATCGATGGAAGTTGTTGGTGACCAATTGGTACCACCATCTCCGCTTGATGAATCAGTTGATAAGCCAAAAGGGATTGCTGACTGAACCCTTAACCGCTTTGTTCTCTTCCCTTTCGCAACACGGGTCGTGACTTCCTCTGAGGCCTCCATTTTTTCTCC